TACTTCTATATCTGGGTTGTCACCTTGTTTATCTTCTTTTCTTATTAGGTATTCAGTCCACTCCTCTGTTCTTCTTGACGCTCACGTTTCCGGGATTGTCACCTGTCCTTCTTCCCTTGGCGTCTCCTGTTTCTGTTGTAGAAGGTCAGGTTGCTTGTCTGCTAGCCTGCTGTCCATCCAGATGTGCTTCTGGAGCTCTTTGGAGGTCGTCACCTGTGAAATCCATCATAGGGGAGGGGGGGATCCTCAAAGTTACTTTCTTTTACTTTGTAAGGATCACACTCTTTCCCGTTGAGCTGCATATCTCACAATTTATCTCATTGAAAACTGGACATTCCAAATAATATGTTGTATCAAGTCTGGATCTTAATATTTTCTCCTATATTTGGTTACAGTTGCTTGGTTCGATCAGTTGGTTTGGTTTGAATAATTTGCTGGTCTGATTCTGTGGCGTCTCTTTTGCGTATTTCATTTCTACTGTCGATGTGTAACTTGGGCACCTCATGTGTGTCAGAAGATCACTACTCCCTAGGGGCTGTCTGAGCTGTAACTGCTGCAGAAGCGAATTGCCAGGCCTGTTTCGTTGGTGATGCTGCCGGATGGGTTTGTATTGCCAACATTTTGCTAATAAAATCAAGTGTTTTATGAATCTGTCTCTCATTTGGTGTCCAGCTCATGTTTTAAAAATTTTATCTGGATTTTTGAGGGTTCCCCTTTTGACTGCTTGGCTTCCTCCTCAGTCAATGAAGTGCCAGAGGCATTTTTCCTCTGCGTCTTTGTGAGTGTGGGGTATATTCAGAGGTCCCGCAGGTTTTCAGCTCTGACCCTCCGTTCTTATTCTGTGGCATCTGCTCAGGTCCTCCCTGAATGTCCACGTGGTCTTCCGGTCAGCGATGAACAAGCCCATGCTTTCCCGGTATCCTTGTTAAAATATGGCTGCTCTGGCAACCTGGAGTTGCTGAAATGGGGCCATAGCACCAAGCTGGTAGATTGGTAGGCACTGACTGCCGTTTGCCCCAGATGAAATGTGCACAGCTAGAAGTGACTTGGAGATCACTGGGCAATTTGACCACGTGGGAAACGGAAATTTTGAAAAAATTGGCTAAGGCTGGCTTAGAACCAAGCTTTTAAGATGTCTTTCCTTCTATAATGCCACTTCTCTTTATAAGCACTGTCAGTCTTTCTCTCTCTCCTTATCTATTTAAACACTCAACCATGTGTACATTTATCATTCATTCATCTAACTATCCATCCATTTATCCAGCCAGCCAGCCACGCAACCGTCCGTCCATCCTTATTATTTATCTATCTACACACATCCATTGTTCTGCTCATCTTTTCCCTCCAACTTCATATTCAAGAGAATATATGTAGATTAGTGTTAAGAGATAGATGAAAAAATATGAGTTCAAAAACGTTTTAGTGTCTGGAACTTATATGGGCAGTAAAAGCATTCTGCTTTCTCACTGTGTAAATATCTGTGACTGAATGTACTCTTCTAAGCTTAAGGGGCTGTACAGAGACATAGGTTTCATATGTTTTTAACAGAGGGTTTTTGGTATAAGAAAGTTTTATAGCCTCAGCTTTAAGAAATATAATTAACTATGTGCCCTTTCACCCAGAACTGCATGCTACTTGGAGGACGAAAGAACACAGACGTCCCCCTGGAAGGCTACTTAGTCACACCGATACAAAGAATATGCAAGTACCCTCTCCTTTTGAAGGTAAGTTTTCACTTTGCTTAATGGTAGTGAATTCTTGTATCTAGATATTTTTTCTGATCTTTATTAAATTACTTTAAAACATTCACGTAATAGGAAAACATATACCATTGTGATTGGTAAAATGGCTGCTCTTTTACATGGGTAGAACACAAATCTTATGTGAAAAGAAGCAGTTAAAGTAGAAAATATGCTTTGTTGAATTTCATTTATAGTAAATTTCATTTATAGTAAATGGTCTGTTTAAGATAGGTTATAGTCAGTACATTTTAACTATAGTTTATTGCTCCTTACCTATGGAGCTACTGGTTATTTCTAACATCATTTTATTTTATTTCTTCTAACATCAGTGAATTCATAATACCAATATAGGGAAGGCCACATTTGTATCTTCTCAGAGCCTGTCCTTTGAATCATTATTGTCAAGGAGTGGCATGGGCCCCATGGGGATGTAAAGGATAAAATGTGGAGTGAAGTGATAAGAGAAAGGGGAATTATTTGTGGAACTAGAACTTTTGTATTGACCAACCAATACATGTTTTATAGCAAAAGAACTTGCCGGAAGATTCTTTCTTCTGAGTTGCCCTGACCATTTCCCATACTCACGTCCCAACTCCACAGACGCCCTGTTGGAGACAATTCTGACGGCCCACTTCCTAGCCTGCGCAGACTGACTTAACCAACTTCCTGTGCTTTCCAAATGATATTTCTCTTTAGAATTTCGGGAGCCATCCACATTCCTCTTTTGAGCACTCGTGATCCAGGGTACATTCCTAAAACTTGTGTCGGAAGTGAGGTCATGTTTTGTTTGTTTCTGGTGCTAGCTCTGTAAATCAGTGTGATGATGCCGAATGCAGGGTCAGAGGTTAGGGTGGGGTTTTCAATAATCCTAGTGCATGAGAGAATAACAACTGCTTATTTTTCCCTCTGTATGGAGAGAATTAGGACATTTCCCCCCAAAGAATTGCCTCCGGTTTTCTGTAATTGTGTTAGTGACATGATGATGACAACGGCACTGAGGAAACAAATGACTAATTATAAAGCCATGTGGTCAGCGCTGTCTAGACAGCGGGGGAAGAGTTTGATTTTGTGCTCACAAACAACTAACATGACATTTTAATTTATTTCAAAGATCAACAGTGATCTTTAGTTTCAATATCCTGAACGGGGGGAAAAAATCCTCACAAAGAAAACAAATAAACACCCTCCACATTGAAAGGAAGCTATTGAACGGTATGTCACAGGTCATTCATAACAGGGAATTAACCTGAATTATCGAGGCAAACAACAGAAATGGCTTCTTCACTGATGGAGTTCATGCGTTTTTATGTTGCTAGAATAGAAGATATTTTAATTTTTGGTTTATTATCATGATTTCACAGGTTTTCAAAAATCCTTAGAAAATAAGGCATCTAAATGAGGTTTGATACAACGGAGTTCATTGATGCCATGTTTTGTTACTCTGCCCAAATCCGAGGGATAGGAAATTGACCTGCAGTCAGTCTTTTCACAAAGACCATGCGACCGTTGAGTTCTTTAAGGGTGTGCGCGGAGACACGTAACCATTTTTAGTAGGAAATAATTTTGAGGGAAATGTTAAAAATGACTAGAAAACGTGGATCGGGGGTAACACTTTGCTCATTGATTGGACCTTTTGGCTTTGCTCTTGTTGGAGTTTGGGATGTAATTTAAGGTTGTATCTCTAGTGAGCTTGATGGTTTTCATTTCCTTTTCTGTTGGAACCTGCTGTACCAGAAAGATGAAGACCAAAGAACATTCTGTTTCTTTTTTGGGGTGTGTGTGTGTGTGTAAACAGGAGTTGTTGAAACGGACTCCAAGGAGACACAGTGATTATGCTGCCGTGATGGAAGCCCTTCAAGCCATGAAAGCTGTCTGCTCCAACATCAACGAGACCAAGAGACAGATGGAAAAACTGGAAGTTTTAGAGGAATGGCAATCTCACATTGAAGGCTGGGAGGTACATTCAATTCACTCCTCAATCAAGCTTAAAATAGCTTTGTGATGTCTTAAGCTCTCTAGAGAATTATGGGCATTGAATGGACCATAAATGATCATTTTCCTAGATAATGCTAGATTGTTCCATCATTTCTGAAAAATGTACATTTTCATTGTTATTTTAAAATTCTGAGACATTTTTTCGTTGTATTATTGTGGTGGAAATGTAAATATCCAAACATTTGGAGGCTCAAGAATTTCCATATGACCAATTCAGAATTCATTAATAATTACCCCTGAAAGAATATGATGAAACTCATCAGTACTGGGTGGCCTCTAAGCTTTGGTATTTCAGTTTTGGTTTATCATGATTAGCCTTTTTTCCAGTCTGAACTTTTATGAATAAGTATATATCCTGCACCCCAGAGAAAGAAAAGAAGGGGGAGTAAAGGATTGATAGGGGTGCTGTGATGCTATCTTCATTCTGAATTAGATGTTTGGTGTGGAATTTCATTTTAAGCCTGCTTGGTCCTCCTGTTTTTGATTTGTTCATTTCTAAAATGAGAGAACTGGGTATGATATGATTTATAAGATACACTCAAGTTGAAAACCATTATTCTTTCATGATCTGCTAAGGAAGATTTCAAAAGAAAAAGATTTCAAAAGACAAACAAATGAGTAGTTTTATTCAGAATCTTTATGATGTTTTCAGCCAGGTCAATTTTGAATTTCGCTTTTTTTCATATGTACTTTAGTAGTGTGACAAAAATAAATTAGAATCTATCTTTCCATTGCTTTAAGTTGGCATGAGCTGTGGACTAGCATGAGGGGTGGTGGTTCAGCGGTAGAACACTAGCCTCGCAGTGAGAGCCTTGTTGGATTACTGATCAAAGCACTTGTTGCACAACCCCTGCTTGCCCGTCAGTGAAGGCTCGCGTGTTGCTATGATGTAGAACAAGGACGTGTCAGTGGGGTTTTCAAACTACAACGCGCTAGGAAGGAAGGCCTAGAGATCTGTTTAAAAAATCATCCAGTGAAAACTCTATGGGTCGCCACAGGCTACTCCACAGCCAATCGTAAGGGTGGTGCAGGACCCAACAGCATTTAGTTTTATTGTGCTTGGGATTAACATGAAACAGTGTGTCTATTTTAAAAACAACACCATTTTTATTGGCGTATAATTCACACATCATGCAGTTCATTAACTCAATCACGTAAAGAACAGTTGCGCAGTCATCACCACAATTAATTTAAGAACATTTTCTTTGTTCTGCTCAGGAATCCTACTTGGAAAGGAGTGACATGGACTGACATAGTTTTTTTTTTTTTTTCTGGTTGTAAAGTATATAAAATTGTAATAATGTAAAGAAAATCTAAAGTGATTCCAATAAAATACTGAACCTTACAAATCCATGCCAATTGCTTTTATCGTTTGTGCCTTTCTACTGTATTCTTTTAATTCTTCTTTTTTTTGAGCATCTTATTCTGGTTTCCATGACAGTTTACAAAGCTCATTCAAGCTCCAAAATACTGGTTTTCATTCAAGGCTTAAAATATTGTTCACTAGATTGGAAAGAAATCTTAAATACTGATTTGAAAGAATTCTCCGGTTGTCCAATCTCCACTATGAATATTTAAAATATGCTAACTGAGACCTCTCTTAGTTTCCTCTTCATCTCTGATTCTGTTTCAAGTGTCCATGGTGACCTCAGTTTTCAACATGAATGCCATTGCTTTCACTCAGCTAGAATGATTGTGTGTTTTGTGGTTGATTGAACCATTCCCTGGGGGATGTTGTCCTGCTGTGATGAGAAAAATGGAGGAAAGTTTGCTTTTGCAGTTCTGTTGTCTTTCAGAAATTGGAAGAAAAACTATGTTCAAATGGCTGGATTTGTCAGTGAAATCTGCCAGGACTTTTTACTAACACAAAAACTTCAAAGACTCTTTTCAGTTCTCTAGGGACAGGGAGTCTGTCACTGTTTTGTATATTCCTGGTATACTTCCTAAATGACTGAAACTGCTGCAGAAATGAGGGAATCTATTGATATTGCTTACACAATACACCTTCTACTCACATATCGACTATGTCCTTGCCCAAGAGTTCATAAAACGACTTGGTGTTAGGAACCTAACCATAACCGTAAGTGAGATGTAGTGTATACATAAAGTGCTCAGTGGGAGGATGCACGTGAGTCCTACTGTGTGGTATATGTAGATCACTGCAGAAGCTGCCTTGAGTTCACTCCTCTTTGGTTAGTTTTAACATTCTGAGTGCAAGAAGAAGACCCACCAGAGAGGTAAAGAAACCTGGATGGAGTTTAGGGAATTTGCAGAGCATTCAGGAAAATCAGAAATAGATACAATTCCAGTAGGCACAGGAAGCTACTATGCATGTTAGTCCAAGAAGGGCTATAAATGAATTCTGCATAAATTGGATTTGAAAATTATAAGATGGAGCTATACAGAAATTAGGAGTGTTGAGCCTTTGAGAGGTTGCAACTTGAAGCCCATCCAACTGGTTGGCAACTTGTGATAAGAACCAATTCCTATTTCCTGCTCATCATACTCAGAGGGCAAGAGCTCCCCCCAACCCCCCTTGGGGATTTAGGAGGAATTGCTAATCCAGTGACACTTTGGGGGGTACACTGAGTATTTGCATTATGTTCATAGATAGTGCATGCACTGGTTCATAGATAGTGAGTTCCAGTCCTGGGAAGTAGTGGAAAAGTGCTTACAAAGCTACTTTAGTTTGGTAGTGAGGAGTATTGCCCTGTCTGCAGATAATTGCATGTGCATTTGGAGTGGCTGTCATGGGGTTACATCAGGCCCAAATGTTAGCTGGTATGACAGAAACAGAAGGAGCTGCTCACAGCGCTTTTGAATTTCAGAGCTTTGGACTAATGTTGGGAAATCGCTTCCCTTGCAGACTGTTGAGTTGACGTTTGAAGAGATGATTCCCTTGCTTCATTAATTAAGTCCTCTTGAATAGGAACCAAGTCTGACACACTATGGATTTGCATCACTCCTACTACAAGGGAATTATTATCCCTAGTTGCTCATTTTGCTACTCGGAGTCTTGTCGTTGTTGCTAGGCGCCCTTGAGTTGGTTTCAATTCAGCAACCCTATGCACAGCAGAAGAAAACACTGCCCAGTCCTGAGCCATCCTCTTAACGTTGTTATGTTTGACCCCTTTGTTGAAGGCATTGTGCCAGTCCATCTCTTGAAGGATTTCCTGTTTTCGCTGCCCCTCCACTTCACTAGTTCATTTCCAGGGTCTGCCCTCTCCTGATGACGTGTCCCAAGTATGTGCGATGAAGTCTTTTCCCTATAAAACAATGAAGAATCTTTACAATAAAATACGTTGGCATTTCAACTCTCCTGTTTATTCCTATACTGGTTGAGTTGCAATTTATCTTCTTTTGCATTGAACTTAGGTAAATGATCAATGCAATTTCTGACTCCCAAGGTACATAAGAGAATGGAGGGTTTCTAGTCTGGGCTCTGCCCCTTAGCTTGGGGAGAATGCATTATGCCACTCCTACCCCTATCCAGTGTGGGTTATTGCCACTGAGATCAAAGGAAATACTTTGAATCTTGTGAAACACTGTGCAAATGTGAGACAGTCTTTCAAATATTGATGCACTTGTCTACAATAGGTACTTATCTACTAAAAGTTATTTAAGGTTCTCTGGTTGCTAGCAACACAAATGAAAAGAACATAGATTAGTTGAAATTATATTGGGGAGCTCCCAGAATGGAACAGAAAAGCCCCAGGGTCGGGTGTCAAGGTGGTGACTTGGTACCTGGAACTGTGCCCTTTCTGGAATGAATGAGTGTCCATCCTGGCCTTACAACTGTGGACATTTGTGGCCGACATTCACTATTCCACCAAGCTGGCTTGGACCATTGCTTTGAGGAGGACAGAGGTATAGTGAATCCTTTAGCTTACAATTATTTTCCCTTTAAAAATAAAATGACGATTGCTATCAGTTTTTAGTTAAAGTTTATATGGGGACTGTAATCACGAGAGCGTTGTGGTCTACATTTGAATCGCTCCATTTGGAAGTCTTGCCTTTTATAAGGATAGTATTAAATTTGTTGACCGTGGCGGGTTTCTGTAAAGGGCCCCTGCGTCAGGGCTGATTCATAGCATCCTTGTGTGCGACAGATTCAAACGCTGCCCTGTCCTGTGCCGTCTTCATAAGTGCTGTGTTGGAAGCGTTCCTTGCAGTCACTGCGTCAATCCATGTCACTGAAGGTGTTTTCCTTTTCCCTCACCCATGACTTTACCAAGAATCGTGCCCTTCTCCAGGGACGATTCGCGTCGGATAAGATATCCAAACTATGTGAGATGACGTTTTGCCATCCTCGCTTCTAAGCTTGCTGGCTGGACTCCTTCCAAGACAGATTCGTTCATTCTTCTGGAAGTCCATATTCCATTTTATATTCTTCATCAAAACCAAAACTCAAAGGCATAAATTCTTCTGGGTCAGTGGTTCTCAACCTTCTGAATGCCACCACCCGTTAATACAGTTCCTCATGTTGTGGTAACCCCCCAACCATAAAATTATTTTCATTGCTACTTCATAACTGTAATTTTGCTACTGTTATGAATTGGGCGACCCCTGGGAAAGGGTCGTTCGACCCCCAAAAGGGTCACCACCCACAGGTTGAGAACCACTCTTTCATATTCTTCATCAAAACCATAACTCAAAGGCATGCGTTCTTCTAGACGGACTTCCTTATTCTCTGTCCAGCCTTTGCATGCATACGAGGTGATTGGAAATTCCATGGCTTAGAGCAGCTAGACATTACTCTTCAAAGTAACATCTTCTCTTGATAAGATTTCAAAGAGATCTTTTTGACCAGGTTTGCCCAGTGCAATGTGGTGCTTGATTTCCTGATTGCTGCTTCCATGGGTTCTGATTTTAGGTCCATGTAAGATGAAGTTCTCGGCCTGGGGGATCAGGCCAAAAGAGTCAGAGGACAAAAGGCCCAGATCAATTGCATAACAGAGTTCACAAAGACAATGTGCTACATCCTACTTGGTTATTATCAAAGCTCATGAGCAGCCATCTAAGATGCAGCTACTGGCCTCTTCCTGTCTGGAATAAAGAAGAGTAATGAACATTGAAATATGTATGGAAACAATGGAGCCAGTTCACTCGGCTGATGGAATATGAAAACATCAGTCTCCACACTTACTTGAGACTAGAAGAGCTAAAAGATGCCCACGCACCACTATGAAACACTGAAAAAGATCACATTAGGAAGTCCTGGATAGAATGAAAGAAACAACGTGGAACAACATTCAATCATGAAAGAGATGAAAGTGTATTATTTTGGTTATTTCTTAGACATTTCAAAAGATAGAGAACTCTGAATCAAATTGTAAAAGCAGAATTAAAAAATATCTGTAATATGAATATATACCTATCTGAATAATGTATATGTATATATATTATATTAATATATACATTGTATGTTATATATAATGGCTTTAGTCAATTATTCTTTGTGATATTACTTATTCAAGTCAATTCTGACTCATAGCAACTCTACAGTATAGGGTAGAACCCACTAACTGATGTCTGGGAGAAAGTTGTTGCCATCAACTTCAACAAAGATTTACTATTGAACTTTGGAATGATATGGTATATCTATATCTATATGTTAATTCCCATTTAATAATAAATTTTAAAAATGAGGATTTATTTCCTAAGAAACCCCATGAAGCAGTTCTGCTCTGTCCTATAGAGTGACTATGAGTCAGAATTGACTAGATGACAATGATTTTGCTTTTCTTTTGGGTTTTATTATCAGAAATAACTGGTAGGCACTCAGGGATTTCAGGAAATGGTATGTTATCAATAGCCTATGATATTGAAGGAAGAAGTTCAAGCTGCTCGGGAATCATTGGTGAAAAATAAGGCCACGGGATTGTATGAAATACCAGTTGAGACAGTTGGATGCAAGGCTGGAAACCCTTACTCACCTATGCCAAGACATTTGAAAGGTAGCTTCTGAGCTAACCAGCTGGAAGAGATCCATATCATTTCACATTAAAAAACAGAGGTGATATGATAGAATGCAGATGTTATCCAACAATATTATTAATCTGCACATGTAAAATGTTGCTGAAGGTAATTCAATAAATGATTACAATAGCACATAGACAGTGAACTTCCAGAAATCCAATCAGATTCAGAAGAGGTTGTGGAATAAGGGATTTTGTTGTTGATTCCAGATAGATCTTTGGTGAAAGCAGAGAATATTAGAAATATGTTTGCTGTGTTTTACTGAGTATGCAAAGGCATCCACTATTTGGATAATACCAGATAATGGTTAACATTGGGGGAAAATGGGAATTCCTGTACACTTAATTGTTGCACTCCTGTAGAACCCATACATAGACCAAGAGGCAATCTTTCAAATGGAACGAGAAGAAACTGTGTAGTTTGAATTTGGGTAAGGCTTGCATTATTTCACCAGGTTTATTCAATGTGTATGTTAAGCAAATAATCATAAAAGCTGGACTATGTAAAAGACTGGGGCAGATAAATTTAAAAGCTGAGCTATGCAGATGAGATGACCTTGATTGTTGAAATCTAAAATGACTTCAAGCATTTAATGATCAAAATTAACATAAAGAATACAAAAATTCTCCCAACTGGACCCATAAGCAATGCGATGATAAACACAGAAAATATTGACGGTAGAAAGCATTTCAGTTTACTTGGATGCAAAAGAAACTCCCATGCATTGTTTTGAGCAAATCTACTGCCAAGAAACTATTACAAACATCCAAAGGCGATGATGACACTTAGGGACTATAATGTGAATGGTCTCATATGCCCACAAAAGCTGGGCAATGGATGGGGAAGACCAAACAAGAATTGATGTCTTTGATTTCTGGTTTGTTAAAGAATAGTGAAGATATGATTGAGTAGGAGAGAAAGAAAATAAATCCGTATTGGTAGAAATACAGCCAGAATATTCCTTAGAAGAGAAGATGGCAAACTTCGCCTCATGTGCTTTGGACATTCTAACAGGAGGGACCAGACCCTGGAGAAGAACATCATGCTTGCTCAGGTAGAGGGTCAGTTAAAAGGATGAAGGCCCTTCACAAGATGGATTGATAAAGTTGCTGTGAAAATGGGCTGAAATTCAAAGAAGATTGTGAAGATGCTGCAAGACCAGGCAATCCTTTGTTTCGTTGTACATAAGGCCACTGTGAGTTGGAACCCACGTGACCGTCCCTAACAACCTGTCTTAGTGACCCTTAGCACAGAGTAGAGCTTCCCCTTTGGGGTTCAAAGGCTGTACATCTCTATGGGGGCAGACAATCTAATCTTCCTTTCTTGGTGTGGTTAGCAGCTCAGTACAGATGAGTTGAAATCAACTCAATAGCATTTGGTTTTGTTTGTTGGTTTTATAACAGCAACAACAATTTGGTCAATTTTTAGTACTTTGTCATTTAATACTCTCAGCACCTAGTTTTCTTTACTGGAAAGAGAAAGAGGAAAGACATCGTATGTACACAAACGAAAGCAAATTGCAATCATTTACTCTTTAGAGAACATAAAACAAAACAAGAAAGAACGAAAGAAAATCTCCCTGCCATTGGGCCAATTCTGACTTGTAGGGACTCTAAAGGGCAGAGTACAATGGCTACTTTTGGTTGCCTAGATTTTAAATCTTAACAGGCGAGGAAGGTAGGTAACATGCAATATATATGCTTGTGTTTCATGTGTATGAAATATCAACAATGAGACACAAGAATCTCTTATTTGTGGTCGTGCTTACTGAGATTGCCCAGGAGGAGACTGGGAATAGAAAACACTAGTTAACTTACAAAATTTTGTGCTGCTTGAATTTTTGTTCTGTGCATCTATTACTTCATAAAACAAGTGTAATATTAAGGAGGGAAACACTTCCCATCGAGGTTTCTGTTATGTAATCATACATTGTTATCTCAATTTTTCCTGACTTAGGGGTCCAACATTACCGACACCTGCACGGAAATGCTAATGTGCGGAGTATTGTTGAAAATTTCTTCTGGAAATATTCAAGAACGAGTGTTCTTTCTTTTTGACAATCTTTTGGTGTATTGCAAAAGAAAACACAGGTAAGCGGATAAATAGTACCTCAGGAATTATTCATCCATATCAAAACTTAGATAATACGTTTTTCTTTATGCTTCTGGGATTTCATCAGCAAACTGTCACTTTGCCAGACTGGTTCATCTCTTCTCTGATCGTGGTCTTCATCTCCTTGTGAAAATTAATTAATTAC